CATGAACTTCTCCTTCCTTTTTTCAACAGTGTGCTGTCAGGCATCTTAGCAGCAACTGGTGTGATTTAGTACCCCTGCAGACATCACCTAAGGTTTTACATAAACCTACGTAACTGTACGGTGTACATCTAAGTAAGGCTAAAAAAATTAAAAGTAGAAAATTGAAATTAACTCTTAGTTTGAAAGTTTGTAAATATATAATTTGTCAGCTAGTAATGTTTAAAGTAACTGTTTTTTTGCTTCACCGTCAACTTTTACAAATTGTATTAGGATGGATTTACTAGACAAAAGAGCTACCAGAAATGAGCAAAGACCGTCACGCAAAATTACTTTATTAACTTTACAAGAGTTCTGTTGCAAGATCAGATTCTTTCTTGTGGCAATTTTTTTATTTCCAGGTCATTAATCTGGAAACTTCCTTTGCTGAAAAAAGAACATGTCTAAATTCGTTGTTTTCAGCCTGGTAGTTAAAATATTTAACTGTTAGAAATGTAAAAGATAGAATGCATACAGGGCAACTTATAAATTGGCCGTTTTTTAAACCAGGCATAGACTGTTCTTGCCAAGTAATTAAACTATAATTTTGGAATATTAATGACGCAGTACAGGAAGGCAGACTATCCTGCAACCCTTATTAACAAATGCAAGATAGCCAGCGTAGGCTGTATATGGATTGAAGAATACCCGAGCCCAAAATTAAAGAAAACTAGTACGACCGACGAAAAGTTATTACTAATCACACGTCAAGACCACACATTATCTGATGTCCACCAGAGTAGACCACACCAGCTCCGACGTTAGTTATGTCTCTGGTTGGTTGCAGTTCTTCCTCGTAGACTATTCAAACACATAGATATTGAATTGACTCAGCTCGGCCTGGTCCAGTTTGTTTGCGCCCTTCCAAGTCAATAAAAAGTTTATGAATCAGCAATTTGCTTAAAAAGAAATTATTTTGATATTTCTGTGCATAAAGAAGGCGTTTATTTAAATGGTCGTGATTTCAGGACGCAAAAGTAGAAATAAAGTACTGGCCTAAAATGCATGATTTTTAATCATTTGAGAATAACTTATAGTTTATAAAATTCAGTCGACACTTAAACATACAAGGCGTAAATCTGAGGCATATGCATTTTGATTGCATGCTACTTAATGCGTGTAAAGGCATCAGAAACCTTCTTGTCGGAATATGGAAGGAACTTGATTGCACATTTTACATCAATTGCATTAGATGGCTTATGATTTTGGGGAATAAAATAAGAATCACATCCGACAGATTGGACAAAATAATGGCTTTAAAGGTATTGTATATATACAGACAAAAGTTAAATTCAACTGATCAGTAAAAGCTCTTGCCAGTGTTCACTGATGACGTTTATCCAAGTTTAAAAACTTTAGAATTTTTTTCGAAGATTTGATTTGTTGTCATTATTAAAGTCAGAGACAATTGGCAAAAATTAGCGAAAATGTCTTGACCTACATCAAAGATGTAGTGCAGCGCAATACACGGCCGACATATCCACCCTTACACAGAAAGTTAATTCTTTGGGGCTGATACGATAAAAACTCAGAAATTGGGAAACATAAGTGGAAAAGTGGCTATTCAAATTGTTAGTGAATTTTTGTTCGGTAACTAAAAAAGGTTTGTCTAAGCTTAGCTACCTCTAAAATAAGTAACAAAATGTCGAGTGAGTGAGAGAGATGGAACATTGGTATTGTAATGTATAGTTTTACGACAATTTCGGAATTAACTTGTCCAAAACGTTAGTGTTTCTGCTGACCTGCAACGTTTCTGCTACTTTTAAGGACTAAAGTAAAAGATAATCCAAATTTAAATTCAAGTTTGAGTTTTCGAGACCATTATTTTAACGGATAACGAATTGTTTCAATACTTGCATTTTCCAGAGTTTGAAGTAGAATTTACAGCTAATTGAGACTTAAACATAAGTGAATAATAGGCAATTATATAACATAATTCAACAAAAAGAGGAGACATATTTCAGCAAGTTAAATCAATTAATTGGTAAATTGTTAGACAAAACTAGTGATCTTTCGTTCTGTTGACGAATTTGTTCATAGGACAACCGCGCCAACATAAAATATTTTGGATTCATACTCCAAACACCCATCAATAAATGAGTACAGAGGTTGCAGAATTATATCCGATTGTCCTCCATTTTCAATAAAATTAGCAAATGGATGTAATTTGGACCACATAATATTTTTGAGAACTGTTTACCTTCACATTGCACCAGCAGTATAAACAAGAAAAATCAAAACTTGCACAATCTTCTTAACTTGCGTTTTACGTGGTACTTTTACCATGTCATACAAATTCTATAAAACATAAGGACTCTTATCATTTATTCTTGTTCAAGACGTTTACTATGGACTAGGTATTATGGACCTCTCTTTGTGCCTGGCCAATTATTTTTTTTAAAAAAACAATTAAAAATTTAAGTAAATTAAAAGAGCCTATCAGAAGTTAAATAATGTTATATTTTGCATCCTCGTCTTAATATTTGTTATAATTACTCGAAAGTAGACAAGCACAGTTTAGGATCAACCTAAAGGTTGTATTTGGCTTTTGGTCTTCACATCATGGAAGAAAAGATCAAAACCATTGAAGGCATGCGCCGACCTCATGAAAACCCAACAGAATGGCGATTAAGGAGGGCGTTTCTAGTCAAGAATTTCGATAATCTCGATGCTGAGCGCCTTGAGTGTTTGTCACATTGTTTCGTGAATCACGAACTTTATGGCGTGGGATACCCTAGCAAGGTTATGGCTGAGGTACATAAATTTAAATACCTGGCCAATTTCTAGTTTCGGAGGTTAGGTGATGGAATTGTCGACAGTATTTACCGTGGGAGGAGGTAACAATGTGCGACCCGGTGTTGCACGTTCGCGCATGGGGACCTGACTTCCTGCCTGGGACTATTTTTCTATCAGATGCTCTTTATAGAGGCGATGCATAGAAATAAGCAACCCTCTTATCTACTATGTTTGAAGCACTGAAGACTCTTTAGTGGAATCATGTTTTGCTTTTCAGAATACATGTATGGCTTCTAACGCGTTTGAAGGCTTCACTCTCAGTAAAGATTTTCTGTCCGGTTAGGGAGATTGCCCCGAAACGAAACACACACGTCCTGACGTTCTCAGGACAATTGCGGGAAATGCGGCGGAATAACTGAGATGGTCGGATTTTCGGCTATTTTAGAAATCAATGTGGAGCATTGTTAAACGATTATGTACAACTTTATTTGCTCTATTTTCGCTTAAGATCAAAGTAAACATTAATCACCTTTCAGAACAGTTTTGTAGTTTGATAGAAATCGAACAATAGAGGTCATTTACGAGAAAATAAGAGCCCATGAAGGTGCACATTCCTTTCCGCTAGGGGTTTGCCATTGGCGCGGGGATAACTAAAACAAGAGTAAAATTTATGGCCCGAGTCTAAATTTATACAATTCAAATAAGAGACAGGTGTTTGTTATCGCTACCTGGCGGTGCAATTGCGCCGGATATATCTAAAAAAGAGTAGGGACGGTGGTTAGGGGGGTTGCGCACAACACAAGGCGGGAAACGGTTTCGCAGTTCTCACCTTGTATAATTGAGTGGTAGGCGAAATGAAGGTACAGTACGAAGAGCATGTGCAGAACTATCCCCATGGCGGCTCCTGCTAACCTGTGGTTCTTTTCAGGGATATTTGTCCACATAATAAGGGCCTACGAGTAAAATATGCCACAAAGAAACAGGACGCGGGGTAGTCAGTTGGAAAGTGGACTAAGGGTAGGGGGGTTCTTACAAACAGGCTACATAAAAAGTGGCAGTATTGGGCTTCCGGATAAGCAGTTTGCGATGATCTCACTACTTTATGGCTGAAGTTTACGCACAAAGAAGGGGGTGAAATGTCGAGTATAGGCGTGACATTTCATTCAGAATTCTGGTGTGGGATTGATACAATCCTTACTGCTCGAATCCAACTACGCGTATTCCAAAGGAGAATTGGTGGCACTAAGAGCGCTGACATAAGAATCACAGTCCTAATCAATGGGACAAACTGGTAGCCACGATTTGCACACGGACACGGAAATCAACGGGAAAAACATTATAGACCATGCTATGCCAATGGTTTTTGAGTTAACCTGTGTGTTTGGTATGATCTAAGTCAGTTGCGTGACGATTAGACAGGATCCGACCGTAGAATGAGTGTTTTTGGAAAGGGCAGATAGGTGAAAATGACACGCGGTATGGATGGCAACGCCAATAGTTTTGCAAAATAGCCAGTTAAGCAGGAAACTTTGTCTAACATACCAGTTTTGCAGCCGATATCCCGCAGACGAGCACCCACAGTAGGAAAAATAGCGTTTCAGAGGCTTCTGTGTGGATCGCCGCACACAGAAAAAGAACCACACACGTAGAACACAATGCATAACCCTATAAAGAGGGACAAGAAATTGTGACACGCGTGCGTTTTCGCCCCTGTTCATGGACATCATGAAGAGAAACAGGGGGCCAACTACGAACGAGAACGTACCACACAGGAGAGGTTTTGTACAAACGTGACTTGCGATTTTCCGAGGTAGCAAATGGCTGAGAGGATACTAGCAAAAGCTATCCAGTATCCGAAACATGTCACAAACGCTGAGCCCATCAATGTGCCCTCTTGCTAAGGTCAAAGAGAGTTGATTTGAAAAACATCACCCCTACCACGTAGTGGTTGGATAGTTTCATTTCGAAAAGAATGACGGCGATCAGCGTGAGACAAGCCATGAAGGGACCGTACAGATCACAGCTAATTATATCAAGTGAGTATGGTGGTCGTGGATCTACAGAACTGAGAATTCGTTTCAAAACCTCCTTCGGTTCAACATCGAAGTAGGGTCGCAGTGCGTCAATCTTGGCGTAGGATTGATAAGCAGATTCTGCTCGCTTCTTACTTTCAGACCAGACCTAAAAAACGTCAGAAGGGAGGAGGGAGCAATACCGACGCCGAGAATGCAGAGAATAATTCGGAAGGGCCCATTTCGGATCGTGAATTGCTTCTTTGAGCTTAAAGTGATGCCATAAAAGATTTGAAGAAACTTACTTGTTAGGGGAGATTCATTTCCAAGGTTGGGTAACATATTGTAACTATCTAAATACAAGATGTGTAAAATATACTAACAGACTTTGGATGAATCACTTAATTTATTATTAAACTCAAGTTACACATGCAATAAAAAATTGGACTAATCTGGCAAAGCCGGACAAATTGATAAAAAGCAGAAACCTGGAAATGAAAATGTACTGTTTTGAAGGCGTCAAAATTTATTTCCGGTGGAGTTTTTCTGCAGACACTCAAAATCAGACAGAAATTTGGTATTTTAAGAAGTAAGACTAGTGAATGAACTACAAACATCATAAGTGGGGTTGAGGGAAAACACGCTTTATGGACAAGACACCGCACCAAATTAGGAGAAATCAGTCGACGAAAACGTACAAAACAGGGAGGTCGATTCATTCGAAAGGTCAGTGCTATAATATCTAGTGGTGATTTTACTTTGAAACAAATAGGCACAGGTAGTTAACTTGGTGGTTTCGAAGGCGAGGCTTGTTTCGACAATTACATGTGTAATTCAAGTGACATTTTGCCAAATGACACGTATGCGCTATGGAAACTAAAGGCATGAATGCGGGTTGAGAACTCATAAGTTAAGCCTGACGATGCTTATGAAAGCATTTAAATTGTTTAAAGAACACCTAAAATTTCAGCAATGCATTACAGTACCCTGAAACGCACACCTGAAAATTAATTCTGACTACTCAAACTTATAATTAAGGCTCCCGCAGTTTCAATACGGGTTACGGTAAAATTATGGCACTTAAAATGTTAGTTCGCATACAAAAACGTTAGAATATTTTGCACAATTACAGTTCTCAGATAATTATAACACAAATACCACACCGTTGCGAGGAATGTACCGTCAGGTTAGTGGAAGACTATCAGCCTTAAAAGTCAGCGAATAACTCCAATATTTAACTCTGAATATTTTTTTCCAAACCGCATATTAAACCTCTAATTATTAAAGGTTACTTGTTGTTTTATATAATTGTATGTCATGGTAAAAGTGGTACTGGCCTAGCGGGGATCTAGATGAGGCAGTTATTGCCCAACTTTATTCGAAGGATAGTCACACTGCCACGTCTTACTATCGGTCACAGACACAAGAAAAATGGTGATGGGAACTAGACACACTAGACACGCTGCGAAAAAGCATAGAATTGATGGAAATGCAACAGTAGGTAAAAGGAATTAATGGCATAGACGGGCGAATAGGAAGTCAGAACTGATCCACTGTGGGAAAAAAGGAAGTTGGAATTGCTATCAAGGTGTGTGCGAAGCGGAATACATGGATAATAATACAATTACTGTAGGTTATTTAAATTATTAAGTACACTGGTAGTAGGAAGGGCAATTATAATTGGATTTAGGAACACAATTTGATCTAAAACTGACTTGTTTAATATTAAAGGTAAAAAAAGCACGAGGCAACGAATGGATAGAAATTCAAAGTACAAAGAACACGTCCAAGCAGAATAAATTTTGGAAATTAAGTGCCTCGGAGATCATATTTAGGAACCGAATTGCTATAATCGGTAACTTTAAACCAAAATCTACTTTTTTATTTGGATTCTAATTATCGAAAAATATAGTTGGATTAAATTTTTGGCACCTGAACTTAACCCGAACGAAACTGCCACACATCCACCAAATATAATGCTACATAGGCTAAGAGATTAAGCTTAATAATGAGCTTAGTGTGGTTTAAGGAATAATCCGATCAAAACCAGATTTTTCGAAAAAGCAAGTACCCATGCATCAGAAATCTGTAATAACTTTATTATTATTATTGTTATTATTCTACAGTTACGTGTGTTGCCTCCTGTAAGCAAATTGAGTTCACAAATGCCACAACTCACTTCCGATTTGTGTTAGCACACATTGTTTAGTCGAAAGTTAAAACGGATGAACAAGTTTGTTTAAGCATTCCCACATATTTGGGAAACGGTTGCATTCTCTCCTACACACTGGCAAGGCTTAGTTATGAGCCGGACACACTAAAGCTGCACTAAACTGACTGGATTACTTAGCCTTAAATCTATTCGATTAGTAAATGCAGTTGAATTGAGGATACTTGGTGGTTTTTATAAATATCTCTGAAATCTATTTTTTAAACATAATATTTTATTATTTTTTAAGGGGAATAATGCGGTTTAAGCTAGATCAGTCATCATATTTATTATGATGTGGTATATTTTGCCGCGACGGTTAAAGTATATTTGACCCCTATGAAAATATCCTTTCACAGGGGCTCGATTTGCAAACACATGATTTAGGGATGGACTTTGGTGGGCCCTTTAATGAAGCCTTTTCAGGCAAGGCATTTGCTACATATGTAGATTTCCAACGATCAATCGAAGAATTTCAAGAGGTAATTCCAGTTGATGTAATTCCACTTTGCTGGAGCTCTTGGGTTCCGGTGTTACGTATATACTACTATAAGACAGTCAGCCTAATGTTTTACTTTTATTTAAGATAACTGGACTGCACTTTATTCTCAAGCGTACGTTTTTGTTTCCTGCCGGCACCCCACGTCGTGAAACGTTGGTTTACAAATCCATTCAGTATGTTTGTGCCGAAAGTAAACCAAGGTATTGTCAAGTTCCTATGCCTTATTACTAGGACTGGAACTGGTTGTGAGGCATCTTTCACTGTCGGTTGCCGAAATGGATTCCTTTATGTCTCGAAGTTCAACATGATGCACAATCACGAAATTATTAGAAGGCCTTATGAAAAGCCAATAGCAGAACGTAGCCATAGTAATTGTCACTAACATTTCTTTTAATAGCGTATGTTGTCATAACCGATTACACCCCACAATTCATGCAGACTTTCCCCTCTTTGGTATTTTCATCGTTAAGCGAATTAGAAGAAAAAATGGAAGAATTTCAGTCTGTAAGCAATCGAAACTCCACAAACCTTTTTTTAGAAAACAGGCTGCATGTACGCAAAACGGCACACCTGCCCGTGGCCAAAAGACGACTTAGAACACCAGGACGTGGTTTATAAAAAGTTCGCTTACGAGTGTTTTCACTACGGTTATTGCAAGGACGGCAAAGTTGTCAAGTAAGACTGGAAGTGTTTGCGCCAATGCATTGATTTCTTTTTGGCTAGGTCCTCACGCACTGGCTGCAAGTCGGTTGTGTTTGTGAGCTGTCGAAACAATCTACTGCACATAGCACGCTTCGACATGCGTCATAATCACCCAATTTCAGGTTCGTCTGGCAACGTGTACCGTCGCAATCGTCGCCTTAATCCACAACAGCAAGCAGCTGTCAAGGAGTTGCTCAAGGAGGAGCAACAGGAATTCGCCCTGAAAGAATACATCCAAAGTAAATGTCCAAAAATTGTTTTTTTTTCAAACCCCCAATTTAGACTCATTTCAGGTTTACCTAACAACTGCCGATATTCGCAACTTAAAACGGAAACTACAGCCGAAGAAAACATCTCGCAGTGTTATGGGTCTGACGCTAAAGAATTTAGGTGACGAAGGTTACGCGGAAGTCTTAACCGACGGAGATGGCGTCAACCGTGTGGTGTCGTTCACGTCGCCTGCTTTGGTAAAAAACTTTAACATTTACCCAGAGGTTGTCCAAATACGGGAACTCCGTGGAGCCCCCTACATGGTCTACCACTTCTCCGTTATCGATCGTGAACTCGTCAACCAGACAGTCATGTTCTCCTTCGTTCTCGACCACGGCGTCTGCGGCGTTTTCGCACCAGTCATTCAGTCCTTCAAACGTCTCATGCAGAACCGGGTGGATGAAATCGAGACAGTTTTTATTGACTCCAGCCCCACGGAGTGCCATGCATTTAGACAGGAGTTGCCCTGGGCCCGTCTTTTGTTCTACCAAAGCGGTGTTCTTCAGCAAGTGGAAGATCAACTCGACGATGACTCGTTTGTGCACTGCGACAAGAAAAGTCTCTTCCAGCACGTTCACTCGGCTCTGACGGCGCACGACCGTAGTGCCTATTTGCAGGTTCTCGAGGAAATCGCGTCCTCGTCACCGCCTTTTTGGTCAGTGGTCAACGAAACGTGGATGCCCTACGCAGAACAATGGGCCGAGCATCTGCGTTTGTCCCAGCTAACCTTCGGCGTGGACGAAAGGGCTCCTTTCAGCGTGGAGACCTACGAGGCAGTGCTTAGAACCGACGAGAATCTCGATGTGTGCGCGAAGAAGCTGCTTGAAGTCGCCGTTCCACCGAAACCTCCTGGTGAGGTCGTCTGCAAGCGAGACTTCCCTGGTCAGCCCGACGACATCCAGGCTCTGTTGCGTCTGCTCTCCGAACCGGTGGCAGAGCGACTGCTGGAGCACCTTCAGGACACGCCTCAAATGACGGAGGTGTTGACGAGTTTGCCAGGGAGAAAGTGTTACTGCGCATTCAATCGACAATGGCGACTGCCGTGTCACCACCTAATGAGGGTCGCCAGACTGGCGTACATCCCCCTGCCTAGCCTATTGAAGGACTCACGTTGGCTGGAGCAGTGGCCGGCCGAATACTCGGACGTGGGTCACGTCGCGGAGACGGTGGTGGTGGAGGAGGAGGACGAAAGCGAACTCGACTTCATGTCTCCCAACGCGAAGCTAATGAAAATCGACCTTCAGCTGCAGAACATCCAGGAAATGGTAGTCTCGTCGGACGCGGACAAATTCAAACGACGGCAAAGGGAGCTGAGGGATCTTGAGAGTCGATGGTTGAAGGAGGACGGGTCCGTGCCGGGAACAAGCCGCGGATCGTAGAGGCGTTTATTGGGATTCCTGTACAGTGCCTGCCTAATCCCAACCTCTAACCACACTAATTTTTTGTATATTCTGTTTTAAAAAGACGCCGAGAAGGTATTTTTGCACATCACAGGTCGTTTTTTGAGGGCTACAGAGAGCAAACGGGGCTTATTTCGCGTGTGGTAGTCTTAATCTGCTTGATTAGTGTGGTATCTGTGATCTTGGTGGTTTCTAAGACCACGACACAAACTGAGGACAATCCACAAAATGCTTAGCGTAGGGGAAATCTGAAGTTTCACACGCTTTTCTCAAATGAAAATTCTTTCTAATTGAATATTCCCCAAATCATAGACCTTCGATTCCAGCATGATGGACCGATTCGTTATTTTTAAAAATTTTTACTTTTTTTAATTGCAGCAGATGTCTAATCTAAGTAGCAGGTGATTCTGCCCAATCATGAAATTGGAAGAACTTGATTGGAGCCTTTCAAATTGGTGCATGAATTAAATTAAGCTTAAGTCATTGCCACCGGAATAATGTAAAAACATTTGGCCTTCATTCATAGGTTCTGATTTGCTACATCGGGCCTATTAGTATTTTAGAAAATATCGTCTACTGTTACATTTTAAGTAGCAATGTAAAAATGTCTGATTTACTTCAAATATGAGAACTTGAGGCTGCATTTCAAATTTCACACTTGACCGAAAGAAATCACTTTAGGAGAGGAAACCAAGAATTCTTCCACCTTTATTCAACGATGAATTAGGTAAATTTCGATGCATAGTAGGTTATGCTATTAAAACGCGATTTCTTAACGAAACCGACACACAATAGGGTCTGATTGGTTTTCGAGGCATAACAAATGTGAACAAGTCAAGAATGCTAATTGCATTCCCTTAAAACAAGGGAATGCACATTAACCAAATGGCCATGCACACAAAAGGTTATTCATCCAGGCTACTACGATGGCATCACTCCTACTGCTGTAACAAGGCACTGCACGAAATATGCTCACACGTTTATTGCCCTAGTAAAAAGGCCACTTTCGCGTTAAAAGTCATCGGTGTAAGTTGGAACGCATAAAATTCCCCCTCCGTTCAGAGAATTCGAGATAATCGATAGGATTTACGTTCGCTCGTGCTCGGCACGAATGTTGGCGTATCGATCGCTGCCGCTACGTGAGGTGCATTCACAAAAATCGATAGAATTGACGTTTGCTCGCGCATGGTGCGAGTTGAAATGCGACTTAAAATAAGTTGATTAAAATTTGAATAAATAAAACATATTTAGTTAGCAATCATTTCTTTAAATTGGAATCAGATTGCTCCAAATTAGTCCTGATCTCCTTCCAAATCACCCCACCAGTGCTATTCCCTAAAGTAAGTGTTCTGAAGCCCCTTGCTTTTGCGTCAAAGTCTAAATCTCCAGGTTATTTAAAATGGTAGGTGTAGACACATGTGGGAATTGACGGTAGTTTTGTGATAAAGCCCCGCTTGCTAGACATTCGTTAGATTTTACTGATGGACCTACTTCTACTTCGCGTCCAGTGATTGGGGTTCAACGTTACTGCAAAAGTACAGTGCAAAGACCCACACAACTCCAAAATTTGTGGGCTTCAACTCTCACTGAGATGTGAGTCGATCGAAGTTCCAACTAGCTTTGTCAATTTCAACCATCGGTTCCACAGGGACGTATTTGTTTAGTGTTAAAAGGTGAATCTACGCAGCAATATGACCTTCCATTTACAACAGGCGCGCCTCTCGGGATAACACATGCGCTGGTAACTCCAGGGGCCTAGTGAGTCATCCTACACTAATGTGTTCCTATTCAGGCGCCAGTGGTGTTCGAATGCCAGGTTTTTCGTAGATGATTTGACGTTGACACCGGTGGAACATCTGGCCTTTGCTACACTCATCTCTTTGTGTCCAATTTCAGATGGTTTTTCGCATAGATTTCTCATCGTCAAACAATCTTTTGCCGGAAACCCAATGCATGTAACGTCATTTCGAAAATTTGCCTATTTACTACTTCATTTAAATCCTTTTAAACATAATGACTGCTGATTCCGTGATCCTAGCCTGCTAGGGCACATGACATGTCTATTTTTTGGTGGCAACGAAATTAGAAAATCGCCAACATTTCGACTAGATTACAACCATCGAGAGAGGGTTGCCATCCACGAACCACCTCTGGGTAGGGTAGCAGTGACCTAACCTCAAATGTTAAGGTCAAGCTCCTAACCGCTTTTTCTTGTTTAAACAGGACACACTTTGGCGGATTATTAACAACTTTCGTGTGTTTTAAAAGTAATAAACACCTCATTTCTATCTAACTAGAAAAAAACAGCATTGTTCCACAAATCTCTGAATAGCATTTGCGTCTTTACCAGTTAATCTGAATTCGTGGACATTTTTAGCCGTTCAAAATATTTTTTTCCCAACTTTTGAGACGGCAAAACGCTATGGTCAGTTTGACTGCAAAATTCACGACTGTCCATTCAATTAGGTACACATTAACGTTTTCTACAACAGAGTTTCAATGATTTACAAATTTCAATCCCATTTTTGTTGAGTGCCAAATCGTCGATTATGGTTTCTTTAAACAAATCAAATTATTTAAAAAAATGAGGAAAAGCAAAGCCAGGACTTTCCACTTCAACAGTGTCTGCTGAGCGACTTGCGATGTGGCGTTGCCATGGTGAACAATGATGCTTTTTCAACTGACAGCAAACGTACTTTCCGCCTAGACTTTGCTTGGGGATCTAGCATGCCCCAAGACGAGTTTCGGCTTTCGTCGTTGTTAAGACAACTCCCAGACCACACCACTCCAGTGGGTGAGTCATCAACGGCGCCCCGCTGACAGCCCCACCTGTGTTAGTCCGCATTGATCCGTTGGGTCAAGGTCATTCAGGCAGTTGGCCGAGACATTAAAAGATGGGATCTAGAGTCAGCCAAGAGTGTGTGGCTTTGGTTACGGGTGAAACGTAGCAGATCTCGATTAAATTGCTCACAGTACTTCTACACACCCACAGTTTGGTTGTTGAAAGGCAAGGAGTAAAACGATTGGTAGTTTCGTTTCTTCAAAACGTGTGAAACCACGCGCTCTTTGTAACCCACTAAATTATAGATGAAGTCAACGTCAATAGCGTAATGTTGCCAAGACCAACGTTTATAGTGCAGGTTGAAAGTGTCCTTGTTTTAACACGCACTAAACTACTTTTTAGCCGTGCCAATACGCATTTCCTTTTAAAAACTCACACAACGAAAAGTAACTGGCTGCTTCCAGTTTTGTATGTCCGCTGGTAACCCAAGCCACCTTAAACAACAACGCATTTTGCTAAAAGTCAGCAAGTCATGTGACTGTTTTCAGTCCTTCTCTAACAACCATTCAAAGACCTACTTAATTAATCCGGTTTAAGTAGTGTTTTGCTCAGCTGATAAAATTAGCGTTTACCCAGAGATCCTTGAACAGGTCTGGATTCAGCTAATTTGTTGACTTTCCCACCGAAAACTATGCAGATGAACTCTAACGCGTATTTTGGTGCATTTCTCATACGCACAATGAAAAGTTTTAAGTCATTTTTAGAGAAATTTATAATACAATACGCAGAGAAAACTGATTGACTTGTTACAAACTGAATTTCCGGAAATAAAAAAACCCGAGTATGCAGTTACAAAACTTCAAATAAATTTTGCCATATTCGCGGTTGCGGTGTCACGTTTAATTAGAAGCAAATAATATACCAACAGGAAACTCCCATTGTTTCCGGAGGCTATGCAACAATAATTGTTTTTTTTTCTAAAAAAATTATCAGAACATCTGTCGTAGTCACGGGGATTCCACCACATCTGCGCATTTTTCAATGCCATCCTAGTTATCGTGGTCTAAAGTCACGTAATTTTAATGTTTACGTAAAAAGCCACGCATTCTCTTACTGTAGATTGAGCAGAAATCTGCTTTGAAATAACTTTTAAAAGAATATGCACGTCTTGGGGTTCAGTTACAAAATATCCATTCGAACGATGCCATGTGTCACACTTGTAATAAACAGGGACTCACAAATGTGGCTACTTTGTCTATAGTGGTAACTCAAGAGATTTTCAGGGAGAAAGCACATCAGCTCAAAAACCAGACTTTTCTATACGCCAAATTCGTAAACCGTCGCCATTGTCGCACCACAAGCCGTGTATGACTAACCAGGCTAATTTAGCCAATTGCTGCACCAATCACCTTGCACCTACTCTCATTAATACAGGTATTAGCCTCTCGGTAATTCCATTGTACCAGTAACAGGTATTGTGTTTATGTCAAGTAATTTACTCCTATTCTGCCGGATACACAAAATCAATAGTTTTGAGTTTTCTAGATGCTTATCTATTTAGACACCCCAGATGGGTTTTAAAATCCCACTGTGCAACCCGGATGTCGGTGCGTTTTAGAATCACTTCAGGATGGAAAAAGTTTCCCAAATCAAAATAACCCAATCATTCGCAATTCTATTAACGTGTTTTGGACTACAAGGTTTTTTTGTGGTGAAATTTAGCCTTTCCAAGAGTTTAGAACAGTGAGGGCCGTTTGGCCAACTGACTGGTCTAAAATTGACGTGATGGCTAATGCCGGAACGAACAATTTGTCCAATTGAGGCCCACAGAAAAACCCACGAGTGGTGCGTGAAAGCGGAAGTAATTACGCATAAAGATGGAAATAGATAGAATCACGTTTTCCTGTCTCTGCATGCATAAAGTTAACTGTCTACGTCTCAAATGATGAAAAAATTTAACTTGTTCAAGGCAAACAAACCACATGATTGGATCGTTCAATAACCAATTAGATTTACCCGTGCGTTTTATTGATTTTAATCAAGAAATCGGTTATTGTAGAAAACTTGTTTGCTGTTTTCACAAACCCATCCAAACCGGGCTTAACCTAACCAGCTGCGCAGTTCGGGTGATTTTTTCCAACCACCTCACTCACACGTTCCTTTAGAGATATCTCCACATCCCCACATTCATCAAGTC